GTCTTACAAGGTCTTGATGTTTGCCAACCCGTTCTTTTGCCCTGGCTGGACTGTCATCCAGGCATTTCGTGGCTCTTTTACGCATGCGGTAGCCAAGGATAGTGCTTTGACTGCACAATAAGTTCTTCAGGAAGAGGTCCTTCGTTCGCAACGGTTTCGCTCTGCAATGTTTTCGCTGTGCCCCGGAAGGCCTGGAACTTCAGAACACGCACCAGTACAGCCCAGAAACCCAAAACATTATAGACCCCTAACCACCCCAACGGTCTCGTGAGATCTGATATCCGTGAATAAGCCGCAGGTGTTCCTATCGGTTTAGGGTTTAGAGCTTATAAGTTTTATTACAGGGTTTAGGATTGAGGGATGTAGTATTGAAACAGTTTCTTTGTCGTATTCATCAGCTTCAGAATCACTGAACAAGCCAAGCGGAAAACCACGCAACATCGCATCAGACAAGCACAGGAGCCCATGGCATGCACCTATGGCCATCAGTCGTAGTTTGGTACTTCCATTGCTACTACGGCGGAGTGTAGGGTTTTTTGTTTTTTAAGTTATTACTACTGTTGTCTGTTGTCATGTCCAAAGCATACTTAAACTCATGTGCTTTTTGCTACGAGAAAGATGACTACAAGTACGATTGTGTGCACATTTTTAAGGATCTCGGGTTTTGGGCTACTGTTTGGTTTTGTTATCCATTGTTGCAGGTTGAGGTGTGTCGGGTTAAAGGGACTCGTCCGCAAGCCTGGGCTTCCAAGGTTTCAGCTTGATACGGCTTGGTGTGACTTTGGAGGGTAAGGCTTTATCAGTGCCAGCGTTACAGGATTGAGTAGTCATTTTGGGGTCCAGAGGAAATGGGGGGAGGTTGTTGCCGGCCGAGGCCGCGACCTCGTGTGCCGGCGTTTGAAGACTCTATACAGCGGACGGCCAACTTTTCAGAGCTTGTCTTGCTGGGAACAACTTGGGTTCATCTTCCTGGCATCATATTGCCGCAGCACTGAGTGGCTTGTCTTTGAACAGAATTGTAGACACACTTTGTCGTTTCTGTTAAGGATCAGCAACACTCAGGTTGGCACTGTTCTTCCTCAGCGAAGCCCGGCCATCGAAGAAGCAACACAAATTGTGCTTGGCAGCCACCATAGCCAAGTACTTCAAAGCAACGGGGGGCGTGTGCAGACGGAAACGGTTCCTGGCAAACAAGACAACTTCGAAGTGCAACGTCAAGCAAGGGACAAGAATGAAGGCCGAGACTGTCATCAAGCACAACAAAGACATGAACAGGTTCTTGCTGGCTGACGCTTTAGCTCTTGCAGCTGTCTTCTTGGATGGAAGGCTGTCGAAACATTGCCAAGGCCAGCAGTCAACGACCTGGGTGGTCACCCAGGATGTGCCCCACTGCTGCAACATGCAGCCCTGCATGGCAGACCTTCTGTGCTCATGAGGTAGTCAGCAAGAGTGCGCCGGTTGTGTCATGGGGGTCTAAGGCTTGATGACATCCCCTTCGAAGACTCTCGTCTCATGCCTCTCCATATCCTCGGCACATTGCAGTGGCTCGGACGCTTGGCGGTTGGCCCGGACGATGATGGCAGGGCCATTTGGAATGGTACAAATGCTCGTGTCTTTCAATCTTGGTCTGGCGGGAAGTCTGTGTCCCAAGTGCTGGCTAGTGTTCAGAGCCACTTGGAAGAGCATCGCTTGGCTCTGAAAGCGCGTAAAGCCGACACGCAAGCTCTTGTTAAGCTGCAGCGGACTCTGAAGCCTGCCATGCCATGATATCTTGGAATGCGTGCCAAGCAGTGACATGCTGGCTTTGCCCTTGCTGAAGATTCACTTCGGTTTCCCACGTCAGAACACCAAAATCTTCTGAAAGCAAAGCAACTGAGGAACTTTGCTTTCCAGAAGAGAAGCAGCTTGGCTGACATCTTTAAACAGCTATTGTGGCAGTCCTGCATGTTCGGCTACGGAGGGTCAAGATAACGTTAAAGTAAAAATAGACCACCCAGCTAAGCGGCTTGGATCTACGCAGCCCAAGCTGAACGACAAGCTGGTAGCTATCTTGGAACGAAGGCCACTTGCCCTGGAACTCTAAACCGTTAATCCACTTTGTCTGCCTGGCATTACTCTATGCCCACTGGCCAGATCTCGCAGCTCTGACAAGTGAGAGGCAGGTCGGTAGCGGCGCTTTGGCCCTCAGGTCCCCAGGTCCCAGGCTCACGTAAAACTACGAGCAAGAAGTGATTACAGCGCAGGATGCTGCTTGGCCATGGTGAGTACCCACGCAGTGTCCTGCTGTGTCACCCGAAGTCGCAACAAAGTTGGCCGGACTCTGCCTTTCAAAACCTTGAAAACCGAAGCAAATGTGCATTCTCGTACCCTTACATGCCAAAGCTTAAACCACAAGCTCCGAGCTGTGCTGGCATCCAGCTGGCGACGAGGCACGAAACCTATCTCGGCTTATTGTCCCAACTCCTATTGTTCATTCATGAGGTCAGGAGGGTTTCTCAAGAAGGGGGTTTCTCACAGCCAACACTTGGGGATCCAAGTGTATGACATAATTTTGCAGTTTATTGGATAAAACTGAATACTTTCGAAAGATTTAAGGGGAAACTCAATAGTTGGGAAGAAAAAGAAGTAAGAAACTCTAATGCTTGAAAAGAACACAGCCAGCCGGTGGTGGTAGTGGTGGTGGTGGCGGTGGTGCTGGCGGTGGTGGTGGTGGTGGTGGTGGTGGTGGCCGCGGCGGTGGTGGTCGTCGTTGTTGCAGTTATTGCATTTATTGCTGCCGTTGTTCATGTTGCCGCTCTGCTTCTGCAGCACTGATTAAGTTGTGAAGATCCGTCCACATGACTCTGGCGTTTGCTTCGGAGTCTGCACATTTTATCACGTACAAAACGGCTTGAATGAAGAGCGACTGCTAAGCGTTATTCCTGAACATATGATATTATGCGTGGTTCTTCTTTTTGTTGTCTCAGGGCACGGCATGGATGGTAGTCTTCCCACAACAAATTGGGTATGTTTCGGAAGAAAAAACTTCGCTTGGCGTATTTACGTACATCGAGGGATATTCCTTGCAAGTCTTTCCAATTATTCCAAAAAATTTTCAAGTTATGCCAAATTGTTCAACATTGTTCCAAATTATATGCCAAATGATTCCAAATTATGACAAATTATTCCGAATTATTCCGCTGGTTTGCGTTTTTGTGTTTCTCTTTGAAGGCCTCTGCAAAAGGAAACTGCCCAAATTTCCCGCGATGGTGTTTCGGATCTGTTCGACACCACACTCCACATGCCCATCCACCCATCGTTTATGCTGCCTCAGATCTCGACAGGCCTGGATGACTAAACCCTAAACCCTAAAAATGGTCAATGGGCACAAGAAGCAGCATAACCCAGCAAGAGTGTGCAGATTTCAGAATAATCTAGATAATCTGGAAGTAAGCTGAACACAAGAGGATGAAATACGCATAAACGGACTAATCTGGCAATAATATGAAGATTCCGGCAACATTTCGAACAATAACGCGAGGTTTGGAACAAAGTCATTTCCGTGACAAATGCCCTTTTAATAAACTACCCTGTTCTCACTGAAGAGTTTTTATTGTCCTGGAAACGTGTCCATCCCTTCATTCTTAGCGAGTAAGAGGCATTTGGCAGGATCGTCCATTGGAGTCCTTCCATATACCCGATATCTCCGGAACGCCTGCATCACAGCCCCATCCCCTAATTTGTTTTCGCAAGGGTCGGGGGCTCAACGCAGAATCAATGTTGACATGAATGTGTATGTACATAATCGTGTGTTCACACACAATATTTACACTGTCTACACACACAAACACACTTTGGCATAGACGCATGTGCGAACATGCGTATGAGTATATAATGTATGTTTGTGGAAGGCACGGAACAATTGGCATATGCCGACATCACATCCGTTTACAAGGTGGGTTCAGTTCTGTTGCATCTAAACCTGAGGCTCGGTTCCAGGACCTGGAACGCCGAGGAATTGCCATCCTTCATCGCCAAGCATTGGAGATCGAGGCCCGGGTGGACAGCAGTGGCGCCAGCAAGGGCACAAAGGGACCCTGAATATGCAGCACCGACAGTTTCCCCATGATGCCTGTTTCCAGCTCTGCAGTACGAACTACGCACCCCCACCGGCCGACTTGATGCATGATGCATGCAGAGGCTGAGATAGCTGCGGCGCAGACGTGGTCGTCTCAGCTTCGATCACCACATGGGCCCCAAAACCTTATCTGCTGAGGCCTTCCCGAGGCTGCGGGATCCCGAAGACATAGCTTCGAATACAGCCTGCGTCGCACGTCAAGGTTTTAGAGCACCATTTGATGCAGACACCATGAAGCCTCAACAAACAGAACTTCTAAGCCTGGCCAATTCAAAGTGGTCATGAGATGTGACATGTCGACCCGTGGTCACATCAGAGTCCCGCCTGCACGGCGGAGTCCGTGGGTCGCCGAACATCTCTCCAGACCCCTTCCGATGGTGCTGTATGGATGTACACAGAGACGTGACATATAAATAGTCTCCCAGTCATACGGCCAGGAATGTCGTCGTTATTTCGATGACGAGCCGGTATAGCTGAAGCATGTCGTCCTCAGGCCAAAAGCATAGAATTCGGTGATTTCGGGTGCGGGGTTCCTAAGTGACTGAGGCGCAAGAACAAGTGGGCCGAGGCAAGGGTTTCCGCTGGAGTGGCCGTATTAGTAGTTTACACTACTACTTATTATTACTCTTATTGTAATTATTGTTATTGTTATTACTATTATTTTTGTTATTAATATGTTTAATAGTGTTATTGTATTGTTCGTTATTTTGTGGGATGGCGACTGCAGTGACATTGCCAGAGGCCGAAACCCCAAACCTCAAACCCGAAGCCTCCAACCCCCAAGCCCGAAGACCCCGACCCCGAAACCCGAAGCCAGCCCCAAAAAACAGAAAACTCCCAGGTCGAGACCCCAAAGACCATCCCGTTTTTGCCTTTTTTGCAGGTCTGGGACTCTTTGCTCAGGGCCCAGCTTTGGGTTTAGGGAGGGCCTGGCTTTGTCTTGAAGGGTTTATGATATCAGAGTGTTGATGGTACTAGGAAGGGTTGTCTTCAAGGTTTCGATAAAGGCTTGATCTGAGGTTTCTCCATGGGTTTCTTATGGGCTTTGGCGGTCTCGGGCATTTAGGGTTTCAGGGCTTAGTCCTTCACGCTCAAAGCTGAACTTCTGGCAGTGGATCGCAGTATAATGCAAAGTCGCCCCGAGAGCCTTTAAACCCCAAACCTAAACCCCTACATCCTGAACCCTTACAAAAACCCTCACGACTTGCAGGAACCTTTACAGGAGCCTGTAGAAACGAAGTCCAAAATCGGCCTTGCAAGTTCAGCCCCCAGAGATTCGATCACTCCACGTCCAACTCTTCCTGCCGCCTCCATTCCCAGGCCCTCGGCCGAGAAAGCGCGGCTCCACGAGCTCGTGGTGCGCTTGGATGCGCAGCTCCTGAACGCACAGCCGGGCGATCCGAGGTGGGGCTGCTCACGACCCATCTCAAGTTAATCAAGGGTCGGAAAATTGGTAATACTATTCCCCTGTTCTACCCCAAGCCTTGTTCCACAGTTTTTACGTCCCCTTCATTAGTATAGATGTCGGTCTTGTTATGTGCACTACACATGTTCCACAAAAATCACGTTGCAGCTAGTCGAATCCTTCCGGGTGGGTGCTTGGATACCTCGGGCATTCTGTTCCTTCCGTCCTTGGGCGCGACTCTATCCCTTTAGAGCTCGGATCATAGCAACCGAGGAGCAGGGTTTAGGGTTTATAGGGTTTAGGGCCACTAGTCACTAGTAAGGGTTGATGCAGAACCACATGAAATCGTGCTTGGTGTTTGTAGGGGTTTAGGGCTGCAAGGTGATGTTGGCCTTTGAGGCTCTAGAACACGAAAGATCTCGCCCGCTGCAACCTGAAGGTCAAACCGCACAACACCTAAGCCTTTCCCCTAAGGGTCCAAGTAGTCCTTATTTATGGTTATAGGTACCCAAAACGGCGCAAAGTCCTAGGGCTTAACTTTACAAAGTCTGCCAGGGCAACCGGTTTGTTGTCAGTAATTGAGAGCCTTCCTTGCAGATGGATGAAGAACCGGGCTACAGCCGACTGGCGAACGCCCGTGTAGATCAAGAAAGCCCGTTCATGTGCTCCATGTCTCGTCAGGAGCTTCTTGGTGCAAGCCATCACGGATGGATATCCATTGACCACCTCGCAGCTTGCTTGCAACACGACCGTCTTAGAAGACAGCGCCAGACAGCTTCAGCGTGCAGGGAGGCCTTCAGCCACCCGAGACATCCTGAACTGTCCGCAGGCACTTGATTAGGCCCCAAAACCCTGAGCCCGCGTTGACGCCGATGCCTGTCGGAAAGCCCTAAATCGGCGAAGCGTCCCAGGACCGTGTACCCTCACTTCTCCGGGGCCCGACCGGAGAAGGTTGCAGTGAAAGCCCCACGTGCCATGGGCAAACAGGAGGCGGGGCCTTAGGCTACCAACATCGCTGTTGTCGCATGGCCCAGTTCTGACTTGACTTGTCCGGGACAACCTTGTTTGTTCAGTCCTCGAACGTTTGCAGCCCAACCCGCACAAATAAGTGAAACTGCATGCATATACAAGTAATACTGAACATATATATATATAGATAGTGTATGTATGTATATGTGTATATATATATATATACATACATACATACATACATACATACATACATACATACATACACACACACACAGATATATATATATATATACAAGGCTGCAAAATGTGTGTGTCTGTGTGTGTGTGCGCCGTAGTCTGTAGATTTAGTTATATTTATATATGCATGCATGGATGGATGGATGGATGGATGGATGGATATATTTTCCATAAATTCTGCAGATGTACATATATGAATAGGTGTAGGGGTGTGTGTGTGTGTGTATGTGTGTTTGTTTGTTTGTGCGCAGTGTGTATGTAATACATAAGCACATACACTCCAAATGGGAACCTGAACCTGCGCTGTTGCTGGCCCATCGGCAGGCCAATGCTGCCTGGCCGGAGCTGGAAAGTGCCTCGGATGTTTTGTCTGTAAGACATCATAACAACAAAGTTGTATTCAGAACGGTCATGATGTTCCATAAACCCGAAACGGCCCTAAACTTTAAACCCTTGACAGTTTTGGTGGTACTGAGAATGACACTCACTCTCCCTGTGGCCGTGTTTGGGTCCAGATCCTCATGCCCAAGTGGCGAGGCCAAGGTTGAAGGGCGTTTACCAGGGTTACCCATAGGCCCCTAAGTAGTTCCTTTTTGGGATTACCTTATAGGATTCTAAATATGAACCACAAAAAGGAACTACTTAGGGGCCTATGGGTAGAGGTTTATGGATGTAGTGTTTCGGTTTGGGGTTTCCGCGTGCAGAGGTGCCCTGTTTCTGCCGGACGCTTTTGGCCTTCGCGGTCCAGGACGGACCTTCCCTGGTAAGAGGGCCTCTGGGCTCAAAACCCTGGCTTACTGCGCAGGGGTACCTGCCGCGGGAGTTTCAGAAGATCAGGCTCTATATAGACTCTACGTAGTAACGGGATCCTTGGCACAGGCACCGCTAAAGTCGGAAGCCCGCTCTTCTGGCCTCCCGACCTTCAAAGCCCTTTTAAGGGAAGGGATGTCGTTGGTTTGTCGTAAGTTCTAGAAAATCGGGTTAGGGATTCGGGTGGCAGCTGTAGGGGACAGTAACAGATTTTAAAGGTCCATCTGCTTGCCATTTTTACAGAGTACTACCTGCAGACACCCACCTGATCATCACAGTAGTACTGACAACGATGATCATCATAATATTAGTCATTATCTGAATCTCTGGGGCCGCGTTGCTCTCGGTATCCGGTAGCCGTCCAGTAGCAAAAAGATTCAGCTCCTCGTCTGCAGTTCCAGATGTCCCTTTTCGCCCAAAGCATGCACCCACGGCTTGCGACAGGATTGCAGGGGAGCCTTCGCCCACAAGACACCACACAACCCTAAACCCTAAAACCCTAAAGCCCTAAACCCTCAAACCCTAAAGCCCTAAAACCCTAACACACAACCAAACTAAGCATGAAGGCCGGATGTAAACCTGGGAAACGTATCGAAGGAGGAGACGATGCGCGATTGCAGTATTTGCGAGAGCTGCTGGCCAGGCCATAGCTGTGCATGGATGATTTAGGATTTAGGGTTTAGGGTTTAGGGTTTGGGATGATTATGCCGATGACCGGATTGCCAGTTCAATCGGATTCTAGCGAGTGCTTCCAGAATGCCAAACACAACCTTGACGCTAGTAGCAGAAGCAGTAGCAGTAGCAAAAGTTGTCGCAGCAAGCATGACACCCAAAATCAGTTTCAGTGTTTCCTCCCGGTGTTTGTGCATCCTAGTCGTGACCGGAAGCCGGGCCGATAATTGACGCCGCAGAGTCGGCCGCAGGGGTCTGGCGCCAGACTACAGCCCCCCGCTCAGAATTCGTGTTCAAGATCTTGCGTTGCGTCTGCCCCACCGAGGTTTCGAGAATGATAAGGACTCACCCCCAAATAAATCATGATCCTGGGCCGAGCACACGAACGTCAAGCGAAATTCTGTGATTACTTGGGCTGTACTGCAGGGTTGGGGTTGATGTAAGTCCCGAACGTTAACGGATCAAGCATTGGCGACACTGCTCCTCGTCTTGTTCGTGGCTGCTCGTTTCCACGGCCAGCCATATCCGGCAATGGAAAGAAAGGTCCGCAAATAGGATGAAGGAATACATATTGCGCAACTGACGATCCGTATATGTATGTATGAATATACCGACAGACACACAGACAGACAGACAGACAGACAGACAGACAGACAGATAGATAGATAGATAGAGAGATATACAGATAGACAGACAGATAGACAGATAGATACATGGATAGATAGATAGATATGTTTTTGACGTATATGCACGCACATATGGTCAAGAGCCCTGCTATGGCTCCACAGAGCCAAGGTCAAGTGAATGCTGCGGCAGCTTTGCCTTGCAGATATATAGTTTGCACAATGCTTCATGAATACTGCATCATGAATGTGCATATGTATACTTATACAATATTCATACAGTAATAGAGCAAAACATAAAACGGCAAACCGTAACATAACACAATTAATGAAATAGAATGCAGCCTAATTCCTCAGGAGTTGACACATGGTTTAAGCCTTTGTAAACTCCGAGGTTTTCGAGGTCGGCCGTTGCTTCATCGCGCTTGCGAGTGCTCCCCCCAAGTGCATGTCGCGGCTTTAGGGTTTAGGGTTCTTTAGGTGTCGAAGGTTTGGAGTGTCAGTGTTGTCAGCGTAAGTGTTGGGAGCGCTAGGATCCAGGAAGCCAATAAGGAATATCATCTGCAACACCCTGTACCTGTACCCTGAAATCCTAAACTCAAAGTTGTCTAAAACGGTCATGAGGGTCATTGGAGATGTGGACTTTGCAGGACCCGAACTAGCACGCAGCTGGCATTTGGGGTCGCCGGGTCTACGTCTAGCTTTTTGGGGATGCAGGTAGGCCAATGCAGAGAGCCAGAAGTCTGCCAGTTCTCCAGACAACACCGGCATCCCTTCAAGAAGTGATTCTAGCTAAGATGGCTTCGGCTTCGGGTTTCCATCGAGTGTTGAAGAAAGAGATTGAAGACGATTGCTTTCGAGGACTCCATTGTTGCCCAGAAAACTGTGAGCCTTTCACAAAGTCGACTGTTGCACACGGGGTAAGCCCTTCCAAACGTCCCTGGAAACTCGGAAGCTTCCGACACCCTCTATTGGGTTTCGAGTTCAGGTCCCAGAGTTTCTGGTTTAGGTCTTGGGGTCCTGTGATTCTTTTGTTTTTGGAGCTGGGGCCCTCCGAAAGCTTCAATTCCGAAGAGGTCCGGAGACCTCCAACTGGCGGAGCTGCTCTTCTCTTGTGGCGCGGACCTGCGAACGACTCAGCATGCTTGATGGATCAGGGGACTTTGTCAGTAGGTCAAACTTGGGGTTATGAGTACCCCAGAGCTAAGAGAGGGGGTTACCTGGTTGATGACGATGCTCAGATCCTCCTTTGAAAGTCCCCTGATCCGCTGAGTGCAGTGAAGGTTGATTTCACTTATGAACCGTTGCACGTAGGTAGAGCCTCCCATGCCAGGTCTGCACTTGACACCTGCTTGTATGGACGACTGTGTAGATGCGAGAACGTGCATTCCCTGCAGTGTGCCTCGAAAGGCATGCGCGCGGTGGCGAAGAGATGAGCTTGCCGATCGAGGTACCGGTCTTTCACATTCCCATAGCTACGAAAACCCCGGCCATTACCGGAATAGCCGCAGATGAGGAAGTTTCAGTCTAAGAACCCCTAAACCCTGGACCCCAAACCCTAAGCCCTATAAGCCCTAAGCCCCATGATCCTAAACCACACACCCTACAACTCGATATAGCATACAATAGTCTGATAGAGAATAATAAAGTATCATGCATAATCATCTGGTCTGTGCTGATCTAACCTAATCTAATCTATCCTAATATAACCTAACCTACTCCAATCTAAGCTCATCTAACCTATCATAACATAACATAACATTGTGTATCATAGCAAAACATAGCATTACATCATAGAATATACTAGAATAGAATCTCATAGAGTCTAGCCTAACATGACATGTTTTCATGTGGTTTTAGGCTATAGTCGATTCTCTTAAATCCTAAACCGAGTAAGGATCCCGAGCTCCCATTTTGCGCAGGTCGCCTCCTGGTGTGGTCAGATGAGCGTCCTCCGCCTGCTGCTGACGAACGGTGCCTCCTTGGGGTTCACAGACCACGTACAGGGTTTAGGGTTTAGGGGCAGTTCCTCCAGGGAATGCGTCCTAGGTCCTAGGTCAGTGCGAAGATCGCCTCCGCTGTCATCGGGAAATTTTAGCAGGCTGCTCTAGGCTTTCTCCCGACAGAGAGCCGTAAAGCTCTCAGGACTCAAGCAGGTGCTTGTATAGAAATGTAGGACCGCCTGCATGCGGAGGTTCATGCTTCGGCCGATCCTTGCACCTGGCAGCTTTGGCCGGCCAACGGGAGGCGTTCTGGCAGTTCTGGGTTCGCTCGACCGCTCGACCCTGTTCTGGTAAAGATTGCGGCCAACATAACAGAGGAATGACCGCAGCGTGATCTGGGTTTTGAGGCCCGGTGCCCTAGATATACATGTATGCATATATATATATATGTGTATAATTAAGTATGGAGTTGACACCCACCTACCTACCTCCCACCCCTCCCTCCCTACCTACCCACCCACCGACCGACCTACCTACCTACCTGCCTGCCTACCTACCTACCTAGCTACTTAGCTACCTAGCAACCTGGCTACCTATGCCTATATACCTATCTATCTATATCTATCTATATATCTCTATATCTCTATATATATATATATAGATAGATAGATAGATAGATCGATAGATGTGTACAGTATCTATCGATCGATCTATCTATCTGTCGATCTATCTATCTATCTGTCTATCTCTCTCAGTGTGTGCGTGTACGTAAACACATGTATCTGCACACATGCATATATCGCTTGGCCTCGTCGTGCAAGGCCCTGCAGCTGCTGCTCCAATACGAGGCTCAAGCTGACCTGCGAGTGGTGTCTCGGATCCGCTCGAGCATTCTGAAAGTTTTGGGCCAAGCCCAGCAGGTTTTGGGCGTAGGCGGCTTCGGGCTTGGCTTCGTGCATTTCAGTCGGGTCTTTCAGTCAGCAGCCAAACCTGCTTTGAACTTCGAGCCTTTTCTGCGCAGAAATCGGTAGTGCGTTCGCCGTTGCGGAAAATTCGGTCAATAGGCCCTAGCCTGCTGCCTACGAAGCTCGCAGTAGATCTGAACTATGCATGATCATTTGGATTCGTTTCTGCATTTGTGAACTGATTGGCTTTTGTCCGTTCCCGCCGTGTTGTTCTCGTAACACTCACGAATGTTTCCAGCAAGTTGCAAACGCTCCGGTTCCCCGAACCCAGGTAGTTGCTGGAGTACTTTGAATAAGGGCCATTATCATCAGGAACCTGTCTTAAATTGCTGTCCCCTCATTTCTGCTTCCCCCCAGCATCAAGATGGATCCCAAGGATGGGGTGTCCGCGCTAGATCTTGCCATAGCGGCAGCACAGGCGCCGGTGATCTGAAGATGGAATGAGTTTTTTTCATTACACGTGTCGAAGCTGCTGCGGCTTTCAGGCATCATGGGACTTGGTGAGTAGGACGAAAAGTGGGTGGCTACACAACTACATATCTGTACGGGACTTCACGACATCGGCTGAAAAGGTGGAGCTTGGGTTCTCGAGTGTTTGCATGCAAGCTGGAGTATTCTCAAAGTACATATCTCCCTCGCGAGACTTCGGCGCACATGGACAGGCTATGATTATCCTGATCATTATCATTAGAATTCTCGGAAATATGTAAAGTTACATCTTTGGGATGCTCCTGGGTCTGGCACTCTGACAACTGCACAGGGGTCAGGTTGAGATCCGGAAAGAAAACCTCGCCCTGCAAAGACAAAGCTCCGTTGCTCCGACAGCTAAGCAACACAGTAAGATTATCACTATGATTGTCGAGATGGCTATCTTTAGCAGAAGTACATCGGTGACTTGTTTCTTGTGAGGGAGATGTCCCGGAATGTCTCTGAGGCACCGATCGTGGAGCTCCTGCTGCAGTGCAAGGAGCTGTCAGTGGCAGCAGAAGAAAGCTTGAGTTCTCAGGCCTCGGATCGGCATTGCTTCATCTTATGTCAGTATATTACTTGTATGATACATCATGGTATGTATGTATGTATGTATGTCAATGTATGTATGTCAATGTATGTATGTATGCATGTATGTCAATGTACGTATGTATGTAGGTAGGTAGGTATGTATTGGAGCTCGCCAAATCTATCAACCATAGTACTTAAGTCAATTAAGCTTTTGGCCCAATACCCCATGAAATTTCAGATCCTGAGCCCGATACTGTAAGACCCTCAGCCCTGCTTATGAAGAAGTGCCCCCCCTGTTATGCAAGCCTTGCAAAACTGTATCTCCTCTACACTAAGCCCTACTGGCAGCCCCCAACAGAATCGAACCCCGTCAAACATGAACCCCAACCCTAAGCCCCAAACCGCAAAAATCCTTAAGAAGTCTACTAACCCATATCAACAACCTAAGCCCTACATGGATTAAATAAGACAAGAAAGCACAAGTCCCAAAGGCCTTAAGCCCTTCATCCTAACCCCGAAACCCTGAAAAAAAAAACCTTAAACCCTAAACCCCTAAACCCCTAAACCTTAAGCCCTAAAACCCCTAAACCCTAAACCCCCTTAAACCCCTAAACCCTAAGAGCCGCCCTTCACTTTGGGAGGTGCGGGGTCGGTTCGGCCTTGCTGGCCGTAGTCGCCGGCTGCATTTGCCGGCGAAGCTCGGGGGGCCACGAGGCCTTGGTTTTAGGGCTTGGGGTTTAGGGCTTGGGGTTTAGGGTTTAGGGGTTTAGGGTTTGGGGTTTAGGGATTTAGGGCTTGGGGTTTAGGGGCTTAGGGTTTGAGGGGTTTAGGGTTTGGGGTTAAGGGTTGAGGCTTTAGGCAAGTCTAAGTTGGGGATCTGTAAGGGAGAGAGAAGGCCAAGCATAAGACTTTGAGACAGATCATAGGCCTCAATTCTTATCTATCTTGACAGCGGCTGTAAAGCACGAGGCCGCAGCCTTGTCTGGTAATGACGGATTGTGCAGGGCTTGGTATGTAGGGTTACGAGTTTGTTTGCGACCTAGACCTGGAGGTTTAGGATGTTAGGACTTAGAGTAAGGGTTTGAAGTTTTGCATAGCTGCTGGATTCTGCCTGTCGACCTGTCGTGTGTCGCTTCGTCCCCTCTGATATTGGCTCTTGTAATCTGCGCTGGCCCGGTCTCCCAGCTAGAATGCGCGAATCGATCAGACGTGGGATTGCATGTGTTACACATACATACCTGGGAAGCCCTGGTGTGCATAATTTTTGCCTTGTCACCTTTCTTTTGGGATTTCCGCTCGCTTCTTTTATTTCCGCTCGATGCCTTTTTCAGGGATTTGACGACGACAATGAAAAGGTACGCTCGGAAGCTGCTGTATTCCACAAGAAATGCACGCTTTGGCGGCGCACTTGAACAATCCCCCCATCCAAAAAACGCTCGCTTTCATCCGCACGTAAATGCCGCGTTTCAGCGTTGAAATCGGAAACAGGAGAACTTTCGGGCACACGATTTGGGAGTTGAGGCTGCATAAAGGGTTGATAGGGTTTAGGGGTTTGGGGCCGTGAATTCGGGAATTGTGCTATCTGATTTGGGAAATTAGGCTTCGATAAGGTTTCTGATTTTGGGTCTGGGGGCGTAGATCAGGTCTATGCCAGAATTCGGAAATACAGAATGAATTCGGGTTTTCTAGGCTTGATACTTCAGAGAAAGCTTGCATGGACTAAGGGCTTTTTGGGCACACAAGAAGCTACAATCATCCGGAAATACAGGTGCAGACGTCAGAGAGGGTACGTTTAGAGTTTATGGTTTTTGGGCACACAACAGGCTACACGATTTGGGCATTGAGGATTCAGGCTGGGTTGAGGGTTCTGGGTTGTTGGGCACGCTGCGGGCTTGCCTCGTCGCTCGGCACGAGCTCCCTCTGCCCAGACCCTATGAACCTAAAGCCCCCCATATACCCCTATAATACCTTCACAACAACTCCCCTAAACCCGAGGGTGCTTCAGCCAGGGTATAGAGTACTTCGAGTGTTGGGCACACAACAGGCGACAATAATTGGGAAATATTAAAGACTAGGGGTGTACGGTTTCGGCTTTGAGGCTTCATGCTGCCTTTTGCTCGACAGCTCCTTGTGGGTTTACAGGGGCTTATATAGGGTTTGTGGGAGGCTAGTATATACACCCATATATATCCCATATATCGTATCCCGGGGATATTTCAAAAGCCTGTATAACCTTAAACTATATACCCTCAATATATACACCCTATATACTCGAAACCCTACGCCCCAAACCCTTCGGCCGCGAACCCACGATCCTGCAACAGCAAACTCTTTGCACTTTGCACGCCTTAAGTCTCTCGAGGGCAGCCATGCAACGACAGGCCGAGCACTGATTTTAATGCAATGTATTCGAAGTACACGTGTTGTCTTTGGGCTTTGTAAAGGTTCTAAATTGGAGATAAGCCCGACTTAAGGCCAACTAAACTCAGATAAGTCCCTCATTATGGTGCGCGGCACGCCACGGCTTGGCTGCGAAGAGGTCGGTCCCGGGACCGGGCTCATCGTCACGAGCAGGGTTTTGGGGGCTTCCTTTTGCTTGGAAAATTAGAGCGGTTTTGAAGGATTTGGATAACTTGTTTCAGTTTAGGGCTCAAGGGTTTACGGCTCTAGCGTTTAGGGCTGTAGGGTTTAGAGGCTTATAAGGGCCGAGGGTTTTAGGGTTCAGATTTTCGGGATTAGGGGTCATTATAAGCGGTTTAGTAGGGTTTTGGGGGCTTCCTTTTGCTTCCTTGAAATAAGAACGGTTTTGTGGGATTTGGATAACTTGTCTCAGTTTAGGGCTCAAGGGTTTACGGCTCTAGCGTTTAGGGCTGTAGGGGTTTAGAGGCTTAAGGGCCGAGGGTTTTAGGGTTCAGATTTTCGGGATTGGGGTCATTAGCGGTTTAGTAGGGTTTTGGGGGCTTCCTTTTGCTTCCTTGAAGGATTTGGATAACTTGTTTCAGTTTAGGGCTCAAGGGTTTACGGCTCTAGCGTTTAGGGCCTTAGGGTTTAGGGCTATAGGGGTTTAGAGGCTTAAGGGCCGAGGGTTTTAGGGTTCAGATTTTCAGGATTGGGGTCATTAGCGGTTTAGTATAATTATTGTTGTTTGACTCTCGACTTCGACGACTTCATTGGGAACATGCCACTACCTTCTGCAGGCATCTGCAGCTTTAACAACAGGCCGTGAAGGTCTGGTGGACGGCTCAAACCTTGGAGCCTAAC